GTGAGGGGGGGGTGGGATGCCAATGCATTTCATAAGAACTTTTTTTGTAATCGCACATCTGAAGAGGATTCTTCATTTATTCATTTACACAGTTGTTGTCATGATCAGCAGTGAGGAGCATCATTCACTTTATAGCAGAATGCAATTTACATCCTCCATCTGCTCTCCATCACATCTCAGTATCTAACAAACTGTTTGTTCTGAGTCAGATCCACTGCGGCTATTATTCAACTACTCGAGGATTTGTTTTTCTAGAGATTCATTAGATAACTCAGGATCGCAGATGTGGAGTGAATAAACAGGATCATGTTTAGTAACTTTTTGTGTTGTCTATATTTATAGACAATCTGATACTACTACTACTTTTGTGACCTTTATCTTGTTTCTTGCCCAGATGACGGTATCTAAATATGGTGCACAGTTCCGGGGGAATTCCCAGCATGATGCTCTTGAATTCCTGCTCTGGCTTCTGGACCGCCTCCATGAGGACGTCAACTCATCTTCAGCCCTCCCCAATGGGAATAACAGAAGCAAATCAAGTGGCAAGGTAAGAGCGAGCATGTCTCAGAACCCGCCCTGGGCTTGAAACAGAAATGATGCAATATTCAATCTCAGCAATTGGCTCAAAATTTTATTTTTTTCCTCATGTTATGATATATTATTAAACCACAAATCATCACCTGAAATATCTGTAATATGAGGACAAGTATGAGTTACCAACGGCTCTTCTAAACCCCCATATGGCCAAACAGCTGTTACCTTCACCATTACAGTGACTTGGCAAGGTCAGAGAGTCTCGTCTACACACCCCTGCCACCCGTAAACAACACATCTGTTTATGAAATATGGAGATGCATGCCAAACCCCATAGCGTGCATTGAGCTACAGTGGTCTTCTTGTGCATAACCTTGGAATTGCCCAGATGAATAGCTTTTCACAGTGGCTGTGATCTTCACAAGGCGAGATTCATGGGGATTGGGGCTGAAATTGATTTGAAACCCATAACGTTTCGCAGGTATACATGTGTGCAAAGGTTTCCACTCATCTTGGACCTCAAATCACATCACCATGGCAGCAAGTTGCAGAATCCTCTGCAATTATTGCCACTCAAGGAGAAACATGCACTTGTTGTTTATTACATTAACTTTACACTGCATATAAAAGAGAAATCTAATTTTGTAATGTCAAATTATTAGGAAAAAAACATCTACTATTTACTGTCTGAAATTAGGGCAAGAAGGTTTTTACATTAGCCATTATTACTGCACCGTATTTCCAGTAGTGTTTAAACACAGCAGAGCCCCAATAATGGAGAAGAATGTTTTCTTTAATAAAGCCACTGCCTTATTTAGAAACCTTTTGTCAGGCAGTTTCAAACAACTGGGGGACAAAGATATATTTTTCTCCATGCAGTGTGCTAGCTATAGAAGGCTGAACATTTCCACAAATCTGCTTTCATGCCAACTATCAGAGCTCTTCTTGTCTGAAGAAAGCCTATGCTATTTTTAAAATCACAAATGTACAGTAAGCAGCTGAAATTCACTAAACTTTACAGGAGCTTTGATTAGTGATGGCTTCTGAGGTCAGATGAGATCTTTTGGCAACAAACATCAGAGATTGAAAAAAAAGCTAATCACCACTGTAAAGTATTGAGTTGTTGTCTACCAAAAATCATTTGGACAAAAAAAAATAAATAAATAAAAAATATAATATCACAATATATAGCTGAAAGAACAAAAAAGAGTGAATTATTTGAATTTATACCGTTTGTAATGTATATGGTGCACCATGAGCCTAAAAGAGCATGCAAGGTTAATAATTTTAAAAAGCTTTAAAAAACGTTATATATGAATTATTTATTGATTTAACTATTTATATATATTTAAATCCAAAGCAAATTATATCTTTGAGCCAGTAGGTGGCGACAAGTCACTGTATTTATGAGTGAATCATTTAAATCATTCACTCAACCGATTTGTTCAATTTGAGTGAGTCATTGAATCATTCACTCAAACGATTGATTCAAAAGCACTGATACATTCAGCTACCAACAAAGTGACCTTCTTTATGGGTGAATCACTGACTCATTCTCTGAACTGATGTGTTAAAGAGTGCTAATTCACAACTATACGAAACGCCACTACTGTGTGTTGCTCACAGACACAGTTTAGAGGGGGCGTATTCAATTTCTGTAACCTCTAATGCTGCCTCATCTGATTTCGTGACCCTGCTGTTTATCTGTTGCTGTTCACATCAGAACAAAATGCTTTTTGCGGTGTGAAATACAGGATGTAAGACATCACCAGAGTGAATCTGGAGAACATTACAAACATTCTGTGTAAAATAAAGGCGAGTAACAGATTTCAGTGCTGCCTTGTCAGATTTGGTGACCCACTGCAGTTGCATTGCTGCTTTTTAATAGTTTTTCTATATACAGTGGGTACGGAAAGTATTCAGACCCCCTTACATTTTTCACTCTTTGTTATATTGCAGCCATTTGCTAAAATCATTTAAGTTCATTTTTTTTCCTCATTAATGTACACACAGCACCCCATATTGACAGAAAAACACAGAATCGTTGACATTTTTGCAGATTTATTAAAAAAGAAAAACTGAAATATAACATGGTCTTAAGTATTCAGACCCTTTGCTCAGTATTTAGTAGAAGCACCCTTTTGATCTAATACAGCCATGAGTCTTTTTGGGAAAGATGCAACAAGTTTTTCACACCTAATTTAAGGGGGTCTGAATACTTTCCGTACCCACTGTAAGTACTAGATGGACGACTTTGACGTTGCGCCATGTTTCATTGCTTTGCTTATGAGTGCCTCATTTATTATACTTCATGACAAGAAGTTAAACTTTAGCCCCAAAGGGGACCCGTCTCTAATCAGGGCCCCTCGATTTGTCCTAACTTTCCCCTACGTTATGCCACCTCTGAGTATCAAACACACATAAATTCAAAAGTCTTCACAACAACCCATCAGAAGTTATACTGTTATTGTACATTTTTAAAAATAAATTCTTAAATTGTTTAAGTTCCTTGAATTCAATTGATTAGATCTGCTTTTGATCTAATTATTATTAGATCTAATTATGCATTAGATCTGATCATTAAAATTTAATTAAACCAATAAAGTGAAATCCAGAAAAATGTAAACAGAAAACAGAATTTGGTAAAAATCAATTGGAATTTGAGAAAAAAAATTTTTAGTTAAAAAAATTAAGTAATTATTGTTAATTATTGTTAAATGGTAAGTTTTGTGGTTTCAATTAATTAGACTTGCATTTTGATTTAATTTAACCATTAAAACTAAAACTAAAAAAAATCATGCCCTGTCATAAAATGTTACAAACCATTACTTTCTAAAATCATTCATAAAAATGGCAAAGGAAAAGTCACCCAAAGTTTTCAAAAATAATTACTGACATGGATGATTACTGACATTCATGATTATGAAATGACATTACAGAATTAATATTGAAATGCTGGTTATATGTATTGTGTACACACTAACTTAAAGGGATAGTTCACCCAAAAATGAAAATTAGCCCATGATTTACTCACCCTCAGGGCATCCTAGGCTTATCTGACATTCCTCTTTCAGATGAATCCAATCGGAGTTATATAAAAAATTGTCCTGGCTCTTCCAAACTGTATAATGGCAGTGAATGGTGCCCCTGTTTTTGAAGCCGAAAAAAGTGCATCCATCCATCATAAAACTACTCCACACGGCTCCAGGGTGTTAATAAAGGCCTTCTGAAGCTAAACGATGCGTTAGTGTAAGAAAAATATAGATTTTTAAAAATGTATAAACCGTAATCTCCAGCTTCCGGTCGCTCAAGCAGGCGTGTTCACGACAAGGCGTTCGAGCGTATGACGTAGGCGCAGCGGAAGGTGCAACGTAATTAATTAATAATTTGTTTAACTAATTAATCATTTGTTTAGTGACACAAATTTGAACCGCTGCTTAGTGATGAACCAAGATTTGAGACTGGTAGCACAGTGCCGTACTGTCTCTAACTGATGGTCTTTGTGTATGTGTGTGTTTGTGCCATGAACCGGTTCAGCTCCTCTGGCTACGCCTGTGGCTAGAGCCCGGCTTATTATCTCTGAGCAGTACTTTCATCTACTCTCTGTTGGTGCCCTTTTTGACTGAACTTGATCCATTATTAAAAGCCAGTTCTTTTTTCTTTTAAGATATGTTCCTATGCAGGCACACAGATAAAGGCCTGTGGTATTACACTGTAAGAACATATGATTATGGTCACACTGTCAGTTTTTGTGATCGACAACCGCATTTACTTACAGGTGTGGGTCTTAAAATATCCCGTTCTGTATGAACGTGTAACGGGAGTCAAGCCCATATTCCTTACCAGTTACCATAGCGACAGTGACCAAAGTAATATCAAACATGGCAGAGTTTAGCTCCAACCCTAATTAAACACACCTGAACCAGCTAATCAAGCTCTTACTAGGCATAGAAACTTCCAGTCAGGTGTGTTGAGGCAAGTTGGAGCTAAACTCTGCAGGACACCGGCCCTCCAGGACCGAGTTTGGACAGCCGTGGTCTAGGTATATATTATGATAACTATATTTTATTCTTAAAGGGGTCATCGGATGCAAAATTAACTTTTCAAGTTGTTTGAACATAAATGTATGTTGGAAGTGTGTGTACACATCCATCCTATAATTATAAAAATCCATCCAGTTTTTTTTTTTAAATCCCTATTCTTTCTCAAGCCCCTTTCAAACCCCTTTCTCAAACCAGGCTGTTCTGAGATTCCTGTCAGAATGACGTAGTTCTGTACAGGCCCCTCCCACGATAGTTGATTGACAGTAGTGTTTTAACCAAAGTATGTTATAGACTTTTAATTAAGACCCGTAAGAATCATATCAACTTGTGCAAAATGAGCATCCGATGACCCCTTTAAGTCCACTATTCTTGATGAATTTTAAAATTGTCTTTATTATTTTACCAGATCCTTGTTTTGTGTTTAATATGTTGCAGATTGAAAATTCATTGCATCCTAAGTTCTGTAATTCTCGTTGTAGTTCATTCCTTTCCTGTTCATACCTAGGACAGAGTAACAACACATGATCAACTGTTTCCTTTACTTGGCATGTTTCACATAATCCAGTACTGTGTTTTCCTATTATATGAAGTGTAGAATTAAGTTTTGTATGACCCATCCTTAGTCTTGTTAAAATGACCTGATCATCTCTACTTAAGTTTAGTATCATTTTGCTTTGACTTACCCTGTTTTGTATAATATAAAAATGTCTTCCTGTTTTACAGTCATTTCAATTCTCTTGCCATTTCCAATTGCAAGCTTCTTTAATTATACTTTTCCCCTCCATCCTGCTTAGTGAAACTGAAATAGTAGGAGTATTCAGATTAAGTGACTCTTTAGCCATTTTATCAGATTTTTCATTTCCTGGTATATCAATATGAGCTGCAACCCAAACAAAATGAACTATTATTACAGCATGTCTTAATCTATACAATATATTCATTATTTCTATAAAGATATCATATCTAACAGTTTGAAAAGTTTGAAGACTGGTAAGTGATGCCATTGAATCTGAACAAATCACCACCTTATTTGGCATCACTTTTCTACCCAACTAAGTGCCATCTGAATTGCCACCATTTTAGCAGTGTATACTGAAGTCCCATCCGTTAACCTCCCATATTTTCCAATTTTAAATTCTGGAGCATAGAATGCAGATCCAGTACGACCTATTTCTGGGTTTCTTGAGCCATCAGTGTATATTGGCAGAAATGCATACTAAACTGTTCTGATATATTCTGTTGAATAGCATTTGATATTAATGTCAATCTGTCCTTTTTGAATACATTCGTGAATTTGTAAATCAACTTCGGGTTGACTGAAATGTTTCTTCCTTGCCCTCATGTGTTCCTTTAGTCTATGTGTCATGTATTCATTGGTTCATTGTGTTGTCATGTGGTTATCAGTTCTGTTTGTTCATTGGTTCCTGTTCATTAGTTCTGTCTCATAATTGGTTGGTTTTGTCATGTGTTCCCCTTGTCTAAGTATTTAAGCCCTCGTTTGCCATGTTAGTTTATCGTGTGTAACCCTGCTGCCGGTGAGTGTTCTGGGCCATCCTGCTCATGTTCATAGTCAAGTTTGCTCATGTTCGAGTCGAGTCTTTGTTTGGTTTTCGGTCACGTTGGACCTAATACACCGCACATGGGTTCTTAAACTTGTCGTTCAGTGGACCGTTTGCTACACAGTGTTGATACACGCATGTGTCAAGCTTAGGGTGAACATACGTGCCCTTTTTTTCCAGACATGTCCTGGCCAGGATTTCTATATTGCCTAAAATATCCAGGTTTTGGCTTTGTTTTCCTGTTTTCATACTTGCTGAAGGTAATGATCGAAAACTAGTTTGACCAATAACATGCAGGCATTGTACATAATTGACCAATCGTGGCGCTTGAGAAGGTGGGATCTACAGAGAACGGTCAAAGCGATACAAATACGTGTACATATTAGGCAGTGTTGGGGGTAACGCATTACAAGTAACGCGAGTTATGTAATCAGATTACTTTTTTCAAGTAACTTGGAGTAACGCAATATTGTAACGTATTACTTTTAAAAGTAACTTTCCCCAACACTGCATATTAGGTGTGTTCGACTTGAAGCAGCGCTGTGCAGACCGATCGGTGT